AAAATTTGAAATTGAAGAACATTGTCAAATTATATATATATATATATAATTGTTATAAAAAAATGTAAACACCAAATATACATGAAAATTATATTTTATTTGCGTAGGAGATACGTTTACATTAACAAAATAAAATGTTATTTCAAAAGTGATTAAAATTGAGTTGACCAAAAAAAAAAGTAATTAAAATTGTAGATTTATCTGAAACAATACACAGTATATTAAATATAAGCGTAAACATAAACGAAATCAAATAATCGAAGAGCATCCACCACTCACATTTTCTTAAGACTCGTCTGTCCATAAGAATAAATAAAAATTGCGGAGAGTGAGCTGGCCAAAACACATGAGAGCATGGGTTGAGTGCCTATATGAATATATTGAGTTAATTTTGGTTGATGCAACCAACTATTTCAACGTTTGCAACAAACACATGAGTATCATCATCTCTTCATTAATATATACTATAGTCACGTCTCTTAACCAAATGAAGGTTATACAATTATTGGTAGATATATCCGTATGGGCTAAATGGGAAGTAAAGCTGGCAAAAATGAATCTAATCAACAGTTTTTGTGAGAACTTAATCATGTTAACGTCTCTTATGAGAAAGCACATGTAGGATTTAAGAAATGATCCGATCCCCCCCCCCCCAAAAAAAAAAAGAAAAGACCCATCAGTTTCATGTATTAGAATATTCAAAATATCTTGCAATTTATTTAATTAATAGATCAAAACGTTGTGATCATAGACTGATATATTCACGGAATAAACATATCATGTGCTACATAAATAATTTACATTTTTTGTGAACAGTAGCAAATTAGCAATACTTTACATCTAAAAGCCTATTAATTGGAAAATGCGCCACAGTACTCAACTTTATACTATATGGATGAATGGCGCGCTGGAGAAATTTCTGTGTGGTTATAGTTAATTCGTCACAGAGTATTCGAACATCGAACCGTAGATATTAGAGAACCATGCTCGCAGAATTATTAAGCCGTTCGAATATTCGTCTAGAGACGATTCTTTTATATATATTGATCGACTGGAAGATGTTTATTTGTCTTAATTAAATGCGACGTAGGATTGACGATTCTTAGATATATCGATATTAATTACGTTACGACAAACAAACATCTCCCAGTCGATCAATTTATAAAAAGTTACGTGTTTAAACCTGGGTCTCTTACGTTAGTTGCTTCACACCCAAGCGTAACTAGTCGTACTTAAGATTACATAACATACATAATTTACGTAAGAATACTAATTCAATTAGACAATCAAAAACTTAGATTTTTTTTATTGCAAAACAAACACTAAAGTGAGATCAAAGTGAAAAAACACATATAAAATGTTAACCATAAATCATATGTAATAATGTCATTTAAGTTCTCATATAAAACTAGCTATCTCATTACAATTAAGTTTTTTTCTCTTTTTCAATATTGATACATGATATATATATATATATATATATATATGCATGAAAATAATAGCACTAGTTTTTTTAGGTTGTGTTTTAAACTCAAAACTCATTATTGATCATCTCATCAAATCAAGTTTTTGAAGATTTTTTTTTTCCTTTGAACTAAGAAAACTAGTGTCTGGCATACACTTGTCTCTCTAATATACCTTTAATGGAAATAAAGTTTTGGAGAGTTTTTGGTTTTAGTTTCTAAAATAACGTACTCATTGTCAAATCGTCTGTCAATTTCGAAAAAAAAAACCAACTGGACTGAATGGCTAGTGTTATAAAATGTTTGATAAGAATCATTTTCGAATTACTATGGTTTATGAGAAAAAGGAAAAGAAAATGTATTTCCAATAATTATTCCGGGATCCCGCCAAATTAACCCAAAAGAAAAAACAAAAAGAGGGAAACATACAAAAGTAGGGACCTGTTTCCGTAGACTCCGGTGCATTTCCACTTCCATGAACAATCTATGATCATCTATAAAAAAATGTAGAACATTAAGAAATAAACTGTATAAAAAGTATATTATATATTTATAAAAAAATGAGAGCCATGCAGTTGCAATGGAAAGGATACGTATGGGCAATGATCGGACGGTGAGACACGAGTGGTAGAAGGAATGGGTCTAAAGATGGGACCCACATGGCACGTCAGCCACGTCGATTTGCCGAAGTGGTAATAACAGCAAACCCCATTGGTCAGTGGTCACTCGCATATAGCCATCTGGTAGGCTGTCAAAACACTAAGCTCGAAGCTAAAGCCTATAGCCCACTTGACTTCGTCCTTCATACAAATGCATGTGAGTCGTAGAGTGGTCCATTTCATGTTCATGTCTTCTTTCAATAAATATATGCTGAAAACTCGACTGAAATTAACCGATCGAGATTAAAGATCTGACTGTCGAAAGATGAAGATATTTTTCGATATTAATATATGTTTAAAATTTATTCTTATGAAAGGTTATAATTAATTTTTCTTATAATTAACACATTTATGGTTATTTGCAATTTAGCAAAAAAATTTATGGTTATTTGCATGTATATATATATATATATCTGTAAAGTTGGGATAGAGTGGCTTTTTTTATATTTTAATTCAATATAGATGATATTTTGAGACTTTTGTAACCAATGTATTACTACTTCCACATATCAGCAGTGATAATTTAATCGTAATATGTGGACTAATCCATGCACATAAATGAGAGAGAGAGAGAGAAAGGCAGGGAGAAAGGAGAGATCACGTCAATGTCGAGAGCCGATCGCTACAAATGAGAAGCTTGCAAAAGCTAAGCTGTCGAAACACGTGCGTAGTGTCCAGTTGGCACTTACAAACATTGCATAGTGTCGGCCCAAAAAACATTTAACAACACAACACCCCCAACTCCGAGGAACACACACATTTGCATTGATTACCTTCTCAGTTCCACTATCATATAAAAAAATCTTTGGTCTCAGTTAATTTACTTCTTAGCATAGCCTTTTAATTGTCAACTCAGTAGTTTAATCAAAGATTAGAGCGAGAGAGGGTAAAAGAAAGTGAAGAAACCATTTTCTCTTTCTCACCTTTTAAACCTTACCCTGCTGTTGAGAAGAAAATATTTTTGGGACAAATAGACTATATATATATGGAAAATGAAACTCTATGGTGTAATTAAAATTAGAAAAATGTTATGTGATAGTGTCTAGTGGCATTTGAATCCCAAAACGTGTTAATTTGATTAGAACAATTCACAAAAGTAAAACAGTATGTAGAGCATGAACCACTTGCTAGATCCCTATTAATATTGAGTATTGATTGATATATTACGGTAGCTATTTTCTAAAGTAAGGACCTTATACATTTGTAATCTTGATAGAGAAACATGGGAAAACAAACTAAATATGATCCATCTAATATACACAACAAAACAAAACAACAATTAGTGAATCCAGCACGTGATTATAAATCTTTCCATGTTTAATTGGGAATAATTGAACCCGTGCAATATTAAATACAAATTTAACGACCGACGATACTAATATATCTATCTATAATGGATAATGCTTTCTAATCACACAAATAAAAACGACAAACAAATCGAGCGTGTGGAGGTAAGCGATCATGTTAAATAAAACAACAAATTCTATAACTGCACGAAAATAAAATGACACAACCAAAAAAGAAAAAGAAAAAGTGAAAGCCTCTGATTGGTTTAGAAGCATAGACTCTATATAAATATGGACCACCCGCACGTTCGTTTGCATCACAAGTCTTAAAGTGTTGTCATAAAACAAAAAGGCAATGGAGGAGTCAAAGAAATACAAGAGCATGGTGAAGCAGACGATGGACAAGAAGAAGAAGAAAAACGACAAAAGGGCTCAATGGTCTAGGTCTAGATCAGGCTCCGGGTTGCTTCAGATGAAGGTGAGGAAGCTCCAAATACTGATACCGGGCGGGCAGAGATGCAACCACCCGGATCTACTTTTATCAAAGACCGTCGATTATATTGCGCAATTGAAGTTGAAGCTTAGATTCCTTAAAGCACTCTCCGATATGTATTCTCTTTGAAGATCGTAATACCATTTTTTTCTTCTTCTTCTCATTACTATATAGCTATGGTGTGGAAGTTTATTTTTCCGTATATGGATTGTCATTTGGAGTTTGCTTTATGTCGTATATCCCCTTCTTTTATATAGTTTGTTTATATTTATACAAGTTCATCCGACAATTTGTAAGAAAATTGACTAAATTTGAAATTCTACAATATGTTTTGTGAACTAATTGCATTTATCCATTTAGAATACTTGTAAGTATATTTTTTTTACTTCGTAGAACTTGCTTGATTCTAACTTTGTTAAAGCATGCATTTTTTTAGGGGATTGGTGGTAGTCAAGGGAGGAATGCCAGTTGTGAGAAAACTAATTTAGATGGAAAACAAAATATTGACTCCATCTTATTTTCCTTCACATTTATTTTACATTTTGAATAAAGTAGAGTCAGAACTACAGTTTGATTTTGTGACATCATTGAGTATATTGCTGTTTATTAAAGTATATGCAATTTACCGTTTCAAATGAAAATATCATTTGATGTCAGAAGAGATATTTAAAAAAATATAAATAAATGAGGATATATAAGAATGGTAAAGACGTCATGCTTTTTTTTCTTTCAAAATATGCATCTTAACAAAACATTAGCAAAACTAATTAACAAAACGAACCAAAAAGTACGGTGAACAAAAAAAACCCGCAGCATAGGGCGGGTATCTGTCATGTGTTATAATAAAACTAGAATACTAGAGAATTTAAGAGCTTAAAGCTCATAAATAAATCGTCTTATAGGATTATATTGAATAGATTCATTTTATATATAAAAGTTGTTCAATTTTCTCTATATGCTTGACACATCAGTATTGGAAAAGTTGACATCTGTCACTTAAATTTAAACTAATAAATTTTAGTATTAAATTTTAAAATACTTAAAAATAAAAAATTTATTTTATTAATTGATTCTTAATTAACATTTACATTAATATTAAATAAAAATTTATATTATAACTAATTAAAACTATTGATAGATATTTATTTAATTTTTATATAACTGTAGATTACTTAATAATATTTAATAATATTTTAAATTATTTTTTTAAAAGTATTTATAATAAAATATTAACAAGTAATAACTGAAATAATGATTATATTAATTTTAATATTTTTATTAATTGACTATTAATTAATATTTGTGTAAATGTTAAAAAAAATTTATGTTATAACTAATTAAAAATATTGAATGATATTTATTAAGTTTAATATAACTCTAAATTTTTAAATAATATTCAATATGTATTTTAAATTAATATTTTATAAAAATTTAGAATAAAATATTAATAAGTAAATAAGTAACAAATAATAATTATATTAATTTTTATAAAAATATTAAAAAAGAAATTTGAAAATTTGAAAAGAAAAACCCGCACATAAGGCGTAGCATAATGTGCGGATATTCACCTAGTTGATTATAAGGCGTAGCGTTGTTAACTATTTGAGAGACATCTTACTTACTTACACAGGAATAAATAGTGAACAAATAACAACAATAAAACAGATAACAACAATAATAGGTAATAATACAACAATAACAATAATAAAGTAGAAGTCTGATTCAGAGACAAATCGTTTTCAACTTAGGACTTATAATCTTCGTTACTGGTCGACTCTTTTGATAATAGGGTCTCCTCCAGCTAATAAGCTTGTCCAAATCCATTTTTCGGTGATAAGCTCGTCCACCAGTCTGCTATTGTAACACTTGCTTGGCGCGTCTTCAAACTGCGGTACGAGAAGGTTGTAATTCCTCAGTTTCCCATTTTGGAGAGAAGATGCAAGAAGATCCATCTTATTTCATGAGATTAGCATTACATTGAATGGTTCATTTTTATTTGTAATTAGATGATTCAAGTCTCCAATCATCTGTTCTACCCTCGCATGCTTGTCTCCTGTAACCATATATATATATATATATATATATATATATATATATCAACAGAGGTCTAAGATATAGGCATAAGTAAAAAATCCAGTAGTTAGTGTTAAGAAAAATGTTTTAAGTAAAAAAAACTTCACCTATGCATAAGAAATTGATTTTGTAGCGTTAAGTAATCTAGGATCTGATTTAATTATTTTTTTTTCTTTTTTTGTAAGTTTGGGCTAGTTAAATATTGCCATCGAGCGAGAAATCTAACTGAAAGAAAAACAATATCAAATCAAGTTGATGGTTAAAAGCCAATGCTTCTTGAAAGTTCATGTGATCCATATATATATACTAGGTGTTTAGCCCGCGACTTGCGTGAGCCAGAAAGTTTTAAAAATAAAAATAAAAATTTATGCTATAAATTGAAAATAATTAAAACAACTATTTAAGACATAAAAAATCAAAATAAAGTTAACTAAAATAGTAAACAAAATTCAAAATTAATTACTTTAAAAATACTTTATAACTGAATAATCCACAAACTAATCTAATTAAAATACATTCTAGTTTTTCGTTTCCTATTTTTTCCTCTTTATTATTTTTTTTTTTCTTCATCGTTTTTTCTTTATTCTTTTTTTGTCCATATTTTTTCTTGTTTTTTCATGTCTTATTCTTCATTTTTTTCCTTCTTCTCATATTTCTTATTCAAATTTATCATTACATCTATTTTTATTATTTAACACATTCGTCTTCTTTGTCTTCTTCTTCTTTTTTGTTTTTACGGGTTATTCTTCTTCTCCTTATGATTTTTTTTCATATTATATACTCTTCATATTTTTTATGACTCTATATCTTTTGAGGCTGAGAAAAAAGATAAATACACATTTCAAACTTAAAACTCTCCTTAAAAGTGTGTTATATTTATTGTTAGATAAGAAAGCTGCATTAAATTTTGTAGCTTGCTCCTTTCGAACAATCAAAACTGTTTTTGGGTAATCAACTTTAAAAAAGAGCTTAAACATATATATCAAAAAAGGAATTCTCAAAATTTCTTAATTATGCTAATAGCAAAAATATCAAAAATTATAACAAATATCAAAATAAGACTTTAGGTAAAATGGAGTCTCCACAAAAGGGTTGTGACATTTTCACGGTCCCAAGATTTGCAGAATTTTGTATATAATTTATCATCAATTTCTTTCACATTGTTGTGCTAGAATATTTATTTGTTACCCTATTAAATAATTTTAAAAAATAAAGAAAATACAAAATTAGATGAAATTGAATCCTTCCAACATACAAACTTAAGAAAACCTAGAATTTTAGCTACTTAAAAATTTTACATCTTTTGTGAAACTTAAGCAAGAGAAGCTTTACTGTGATCCAAAAACAACATTTTATAATTAACAGTTCAAACTCAACCGGAAACACATGAGATGAAAGCACTCCACACGAAAAAGATTTCAGTCGGAGAAATGTGCAAAAGATCAAAGTACAAATAGTTACATTTTTCTCCTGTCTCTGCCCATAAGTAAAATATAGGAATCAGAAACCAATATCAGAAAATATCCCAACACTGGACATAAGTGACAACACACACAAAGCCTATTCAAATAAAGTGATGTTCGAATAAAAAATAGTAATTTTGTTCATGTGTCATCATTATTATCAATAGAACTAACTTTGAGAGTAAGAATATGCCAAGTGGACTAACATTTTTGCTGGAACTAAACTCCTTGTTAGCTTGTTTTCTTTTGTTCTCGGCAGCGACAGGTGGGGTCTTGGATAAAACACAGACCACCATGTTCTGCACCTCGTTCACCGAAGCTTCTTTTGAACTGTTATAAATTTAGGATTCATCAGATCAAGTAATAATCCATAATCAGATGATTAAACCTGTGTTTTTGTATGTGTTCTTTTAAAGTTTCATATACCTTCCAAAAGTTCAATCAGCTTGGCAATCTTCACAAGAACCAGGTGAACTCACGTTCATTGCCATGAGGGATTTCGACACCGTATGTCCTATAGACCATTCTGAATCGTCACCAAGAGCCTACACCACAAAACATAATACATGATCTTTTTGTAATAATTTTTTAAAACATATAAAACGCTAATATCTGACTTCGAGAACTGGTTCGGTTCATGACCATAATCTAGATCTTCATCACCAGCAAATGAAATCTGTTGCATCGCAAGATGAAACAATAAAACGCGAGCACCTAAGAAAGAAAAAACAAAAACAATCAAAACTTAAAACAGATGATTAAACCTGTGTTTTTGTATGTGTTCTTTTAAAGTTTCATGTACCTTCCAAAAGTACAATCAGCTTGGCAACCTTCACAAGAACCAGGTGAACTCACGTTCATTGCCATGAGGAATTTCGACACCGTATGTCCTAGACCATTCTGAATCATCACCAAGAGCCTACACCACAAAACAAAATACATGATCTTTTTGTAATAATTTTTTAAAATATATAAAACGCTCTTATCTGACTCCGAGAACTGGTTCGGTTCATGACCATAATCTAGATCTTCATCACCAGCAAATGAAATCTGTTGCATCGCAAGATGAAACAATAAAACCAAGCACCTAAGAAAGAAAAAACAAAAACAATTAAAACTTAAAACAGATAAGAATCAATAAATTAAAAAGGCTCGACTCAGCCCCAACTAATAAAAGAGAAAGAAAAGTGCACCAAAACTGGCTAATATATAAAACATAAATATGATAGATAATAAAAAAAATCAAAAATCTAAACCTAAAGCACAAAAAAGAAAATAAAATGTTACCCTTCGGTATAGCAGTAAACTAAACAATCAACGATCAAGAAAGTCCGGCTAAAACACCACATCCTAAACAGAAAAAAAAACATCAAACGTTATTATTAATAAGAAGAATTTATAAAATATAAATAGTTACCAACTTCAAATATACATCAGAACAAAATATATTCTTGAAGAGCTATAAAAGGGAAGACACAAGGTATCACCTAACATATATAAAAAAATGTAGATCTACATGAATATAAAACAAAAATAACAACCGAATAGAAAATTAAACAGCACAAAAACTATTTTTTTAAGAAGTCACAAGATCACTAATGTAAAATACACGAAATATATAGCTTACATGATCGCCAAATATTATAACTGTATAAGTGAAGAAAAAAAATTGGTTGAAAAATCTTTAAAATTTATGCAAATCGGATAATTCATATATATTTTTTTATTAAAAAACAATATCTAAGTATTTATCAAGATTTACTTAAAGATTAAGGGAGTAACATAACTATATATGATGATTTTTCATTTTTTAATGTTTTTTATAATTCATATAAATATTTTTTTTTTAAAAAAACAATATCTAAGTATCTATTAAGTAAGATTTACTTAAAGATTTATGGAGTAACATAATTACATATGATGATTTTCGTTTTTTATTTTTGTTTTAAAAAATCATGATTTTAGTTGTAAAATCGTGATTTTTGATTTGATAAAATCATAGATTTTGATCAGATAGAGATAAAATCATGTATTTTGATTTGATTTAATTTAATATTATTACAACCTATATATAATCGTGATTTTAGTTGTAGATAATTTTTTGTTTTATTTTAAATTAAAAATAATTTTAAAGAGGGGTAAAGGGTAATTAGCCACTCTAAGATTCAATGAGAGAGCTTTAAACGAAATTTTTACTTCGCTTATAATATATATGATGATATATATATATATGAGCCATATTCTATTAAATACTGAAATATAATTAGTTCTGTAATTGATCGTTTTATTTTAAATTAAAAATAATTTTAAGGAGGGGTAAAGGGTAATTAGTCACTCTAAGATTCAATGAGAGAGCTTTAAATGATTCTCCATTGTATCAGGGATTTGTAATTACGTATGTTTGTGGTTATGATTTCGGTGTTGTGAATTTTCTGCTTGGAACTGTCTAATGAAAGTTTGCTATACTCCATTTAAATTACTTATTTATGTTATTTAAATTTAGTAGGATTGATCCTCTCAGTTAGTTTTATGCCTGACCTCTCTTTTTTGTTTCTTTTTTTTTTTGGAAATTGGCAAAAAAGAATATTGTGCATTTCTTTCATCCTGATATGTATTGCTTTCTTATGTGTTGGAAACAGAAATCTCTCTTGATATGGGTTAAAACCTTTTTTGAGATGTGCTAACGATAGTTTAGATGAAAGATATTAGATAAATTTCAAGTTCAGCCTGTTGATTTCTCACAACATCTTGTGCTGTTGAATTAGTTTAGCTTCTTGGGTTCCATTTTTTTTGGGTAGGATTCACACTTCGACATGTAACTCCAGTCCATTATGATGTCGCCTAAGAGGCCACTGCTTCAGTGCAGATTTTGGGGGTGCCAAAGGAATGGCACACCCTACTGTTCAGATTTCCATAGGGATTTTGGTACATCGCAGGAGTTTTCCTCAAAAGCAATTGTCCTTGTTGATTCTTTGACAGTAGAAAAGCAGGAAATAAAAAAACTAGAAAATATTGTCGATGATATATACACAGCACGGTGACAACATGTGTGGCATACCAAAGCTTGATGCCTATGTGTTGTTCGCTTAGCCGTGGAATGTCTGGGAATTTTACTCAGAGTTTCTCCACAAAGAGTCTGTTTAGGACTAGCTGTTTATATCAAAGAATACCGAGTTTAGTTCCGAGAAAAATTAACATAGAGAAAAAAAAAAAAGCAAATCCAACCACACGAAAACTATTACACTGTGCTTTTTTTTTCAAAGCAAAATCCTAAATTAACTTAGTTTCAAAGCAAAACCTAAATTAACTTAGTTTCAAAGCCATGGATTTAGGCTACTTGTATATACATGGTTACAAATCCACTAAAAAAAAAGCAAATCCTAAATTAACTTAGTTTCAAAGCATTTCGTATACTAATAAATAATTTGTATGTTATAATACATATAGACAAAATTAAGTGGAAGTTTAGGCTACTTGTATATACATGGTTTTTAGGAAAGGACTTAAATTTTCAAAAGAACACGAAGCAAAACCTAACCTCGATTTTAAATCGAATATGAACCGGACCTTCGGCCAACTGAATGCTCACAAATCTGCCTAAATTATTTGATCAAACAAATACAACATTCATCTCATATTTAATTTAATAATAATTTATGTACTGTTTTACAAGTAACTTTATTTAATTTAACCAAAACAAAACCAGTATAAATTCAAAGTTTAGCCTTTTTCTTAAACCAATTCAATAAGAGAGTTTTTAAACCAATCTCGTGTGATATTTAATAGCCCTTCTTTCACTACCAAAAAAAAAAAATAGCCCTTCTTTTTGAGTAATATTCCTCCGAATACCAACGCCATCAGTCTCTGCACATATTTTCGCCCTTCTCCACAATCACAGGTTTCTATTTTATTTGCTTTCACTTGTTCATATGAAAGCTTGCGCCTTTACTTTTATATCAGTCCCAACAAAAAAAAGCATAAAGCTTGAACCTTTGGTTTCTGTACGGTGCTTGAACTGAATCTTCCGTCTCTGAATTGTCCTTAATTTCGCTTATCACGTTCATATGGTTGCTTACTCAGATCTGGATACTTGTGAAAAGTGTGGATGTTATTGTTTGTAATTTGGAAAAGTGACCATTGTTCTGCTCCCTCTGCTCAAAAGATGTCACAAGTGACAAGTTCTTTTGAGCTTCCATATGGGTTTAGATACCACTAATCGCTTTGTGTTGGTAAATTGTTCAGCTCGAGCCTCTTTAGTTGAAATTCAGTCCAAGAATGAAAAAGCTTGAACCTTTAGTTTCTTTGCCGTCTTTGTGATAGTAGAAATACTCACATCCTTGTTGGTGGGTGCAATTGTGGTTAATCCAACATCTGAAACTAGTTCATGTTTCAGGAACTTTTATCTCAATAATTGCCAAAACCTTTGACACAAGCTGCTCGAGGGATGCGATCAGCTGGCTCCCTGACGAGGTTCTGGGAAACATCTTGTCCTTACTTCCGACAAAGCAGGCTGCTTCAACATCTCTTCTCTCCAAAAAGTGGAGGTATGTGTATAGATTGGTGGATAACCTCGAGTTTGATGATTCTCAACAAGAAGGGAGGTATAATTTCCCGGAGAGCTTCGAGAATTTCGTGGATCGGACACTGGCTTTGCAATGTGACCTTCCAATCAAGAAATTCTCTCTAAAATGTCACGTCGGCGAGGAGGACAAAGAACGCCTAAAGGCTTGTCTCGGCCGCTGGATATCTAACGTCGCAGGACGCGGTGTTTTGGAAGCCGAGCTAAGGATAAGTCGTCGGGGTTTAGGCTTTCTGCCTCCTCAGCTCTTGTCATGCAAAACACTGGTCAAGCTGACAATAGGAAGACAGCTCTATCTTGATAAGCTTCCTTCATATGTTTGGCTTCCATCACTTAAGTTTCTCTTCCTCGATACCGCTTCCTTCCGATACCAATATCTGTGTGGTGTGCTTCTTGCTGGTTGCCCTGTGCTCGAGGAGTTATCAGTCCATCACAAGAACTCTGTAGTAACACCTAACTCCATATCGAGTCCGACCATCAAGAGACTATCAGTTAACTTCGATTGTCGTAGAGAGACTGATTGTCATAGAACTATGTCATTTGACCTGCCAAGACTTGTCTACCTTGAGTACTCTGATTTTGCGTTGAGTCTCTATAGACAAGTTAATCTAGATTCCCTTGTCGAAGTTAAGCTCGATCTTCATCTGATAAATTTTTATAATGGTTGGAGGCCGGATATAACGGATCTCATTGCCGGGTTAAGAAATGTTGAGATCCTTCATGTGTCTCCTGTTTCGGCTGATGTAAGTTCTAAGCCACTTTTCTTTCCCTCTGTTTTGAAACCATTGGACATTCTTTAAAACTATGTTTGTTTTGTATGTTTCCAGGCGATATATACTTACTGTATACGTGGGTTACCGTTGTTCGACAATCTGGTTACTCTATCTTTTGGGAGTAAGAATGAGAGAGGTTGGAAACTGCTGCCATATCTGCTTAAACAGTCTCCAAAGCTTGAAACTCTAGTCGTCCAGGTACATTCAATAAGCAAAACCAAATGAACTTAGGTGGTTGATGCATCTGAATGGTTACAACATCTTCATCTTGATTGAATATACATGAACTTAGTATTTGATCATTTTCATACATCTTCTTGATTGATGCCTCTTCAGGATTTAGATGGTTACACTGGCGGTGATGTCTCCATGCCTCGGAACAAAGTGAAGTCGTTGCATATTCTTGGTTATCGAGGAACTGATGAAGAGCTGAAACAGTTGAAGATCTTCCTCGGGGAATTCGAATACCTTGAAGTTGTTCAAGTGGATGTTGCAGAAGCTTCAGAGGATGATGATGGCATTATAATGCAAACCAAAAGCGATCTAATGATGCTGCTTGGTGTTTCACTTCCATGCAAGTGCAACTTCAAAGTCACATAAGTCATCTATAGTTTATTTATGTTATATTATGCTTTGTAACTTTTGAAACTCATAAAAACGTCACATTGCTCTTGCCGTTTTTCTCACACTTTTTTTTTTTCTCTCAAGTTTTGCAATAAATTAAGATGTTGTATGAACTTTAAAATGGCAATGAATTAAGATGTTGTATGAAGATGTTGAAATATTGAAAGTAGAAATCTTATAAATGTGACATCTTTTGATGGACGCTTGCTGCTGTAAACAAGCTCATTTGAATATTCTATCCGAAATGAAGTGAAAGAACCATTTTTTTCACAAAGATCATATCTTTTAGATATATTTATATATTACTCAATACAATCAAAGTTTGCAACTTTTCTTACAATACAAGAGCACCTAAGTACTCCAAATTCCCCAATTCCCTCTCAATAAATCTCAAAAAACCCCACCTATACCCAAAATTTCTAAATCACTGCAAATCTTATTAAGACTAGTAATCCCAGAAATTCTCAAAAATCGAGTCTTTTCATGTATATGGATAGTATCCATATGGGTAACTAACAGAATGAGCTCTGTAGTGAAGGTTCTGTTGAGTATTATTATTATTTATCTGATCTCCTGACTCCAGAGGCTTAGCCGCACGCTTGCTGCTCTGTTCTTGGACAGCCCCAAAGACTATCTCGTTACTCTTCTCACTATTCTGCTCATAATACGTATGCGGGATCGAAGAGTAATGCCTTCGATGCTGCTGCTTCTGCTGCTGCTTTTGCTGTTGTTGCTGTTGCTGCTGATTTGGGAATTCACAGCTACTGTAGAATGCACGGCTCTGACGCAGCTGCTGCATTTTCTCTGCGTCTTTGGACATAAAAGCGTAAGTCTTTCTTGGAGTTGGGTTCCTGGGCTCAACAGGAGGAGGTTCGTCTTCGTCTCGAATCACAAAGCTCTCTTGAATAGGCCATGGAGTTGTTGTGCTAAATGCAGCAGACTGCTTCGTTGTTCCATGGTACTGTTGAAAGTTTGTGGCTGACTGCTTTTTTCTGAGGATCTCCAAAACGGAAACCCAAGCATTTGAAGCGAGATTTCCCAGGGATACCAGGAAACTTTCATCTTGTTTCTCTTGCTGCTCGTCTCCAGTTGGAATCAGGGATGGTCTGGAATGTTTCATAGGCTTTTGATCAGGATCTGCTTCGAACATTTCTTGATCCTGTGTAAGATGATTGAATAGTTTTAGGCTTTTAGCAGAAGAATTAAGACAGGTAATAGTTGAGATTGTTTTAGAAAAGATTTAAGACACTCACGTTATGAGAAGAGACAATAGAACCGACTCTTCGTTGCAACAGAGCCAGCATATAACCAAAGAAACCTGCAGCTACGAGAACCGCAATGCCTGCAATACATTGAATTCCGCAACACAGACTCAGAGAAGAAAAACTAAAAATGGTTAAAGAAAAGAGGATTTAGTATTTTCTAAGTTTTACCAAGAGGAAACCCGCTTCCATACTGATAAGCACAGTCATCGAAATGAAGCTGAATCTCTCTGATGGCTCTGTTTCCTCTGTCAATAACAAGCAGGGAACAACTGCTTCCAACATAAACAACATCAAAATCACTGGAAAACTTTGCATCTTCGCTCGGTCCATCCACATGCCCTCCATTGCGAACCGTTTTACCCCCAGCAATTGTTGTAACTCCTACAAGGCAATACAAGATAGAGACTAAGTTACAATCAATTGCTTCCATGAATGCAATTATGATCCAGTCTCAAAGACAAACAAACCTATTACCTCCTTCACTAATCTTCCGGATAGCATTATTCACTGTGTCAGCCACATATATGTTTCCTCTGTCATCAACCGTAAGCCCCTTAGGATGGTTCAGCCTCGCATCACGTAACCTTCCATCCACGTGACCTGCATATCCTTCAGGGGAGCCAGTAACCAGTCTTGGCCTGCTATCTGCAAATGTTACCAATAGTAAATAAATCTCAGATAGAAAACATTTCAAAACAAAGAAAAATCAGCAAAGTAGTTGGGTTCTTGAAAAAAAAATCAAGATTGTGTTTTGACTTTCTAATGACTTTGATGATTACCATATCATACTACATCACCTAGTTTAAAGCTATAAAGCTTTGTTTCTATTCTTGAGCAACTGATAGAAGACACTTTTTGTGTATAGATCTCATCTTTGAAAAAGTCAGATTCAGCAAACAAATGAAAAAAAAAGGTACTATAAACTATAATCATCCCTGACAAACTCACACAAGATACGACAAAGATACAGCAAATATCCATATAATAGTAATATAGCTCAGACGGGAATTTTTCAATTAAAGTACCAAAAAATTCCATCAATTTTCCATATGCAGCATCATTGTACAACAAGTCCATGTGCATTCAGTTTTAAGTGAAGACAAAGAACAATCGTGGTTTCATTCAACCGTATCAAAACCACAGAGAATCTCTTCAAGATAGTGATTTTGAACAACATGTAGATTCATATGATTGATTGAGGAAAAAGAAAAAAACACTCAGCACAATCTGATACTTACATAGTGAAAGAGAGGAAGATATCTTGTAGATGTTACTGTTCTCAGAATCAAGGATAAGCAGCTCGCCATTGGGCAAAACCTCGATCGAATGTGGTTCGATACCGAGTTTGCTTCCATCGAACACCGTCTCTACTGTATACCCATTATCGAATTTCACCATCGATCTAGTTGCGATTGCTGATTTTTCAAATAGAAACCCATAAGAAAAAAAACCTAATCTGGGAAAAGCAAAAGATGATCGGAGAAATGGAGAAAAAAACCGGAACTTGTTTTGGTGGTTGTTTTGAGTGACCATAACCATTTCATGAGGGAAGAGCCGTGATTCGAGATAAACCCACTAACAATCTCTGCAGAAAAAAAAAAAACCTAACAAAATTAAACAAAGATGAAACTTGAAATTGAAGAGAAGAGAGTGTAATAAACGAAATGTGTATACTTACTCGCAGGAGAATTAGCTGATGGAGCTGAAGCTACAAGCCCAGAAAGGAGGAGAATTAGAATACCCAGAAGCAGAAAATCTCTGCCCATTGATTCGATTTAAGTGAGACAAGTAGTAAACTGGAGAAAGAAGAAGCGGGAAGAGGAAAAAACCCAACAAAAAAACCCTAGTTCATACAGAGATTCTTCTGGGGAAAAGCGAACAAAAAACAAAAAGTAGAAGAAGAATGGCGGACAATGCGAAGATTAAAATAAGGAGAGTGGAGAATAGACTGTTTTTCAGGTTTCTCGATCAAAGCGAGAGAGAGAGAGAGTGAGTGAAGAAAAGAGGAAACAGAGAGCTTAGATTTGCAGAGTTTGTTTCATATGCAAAAAAGAGTGAAGACAGTCAGTGAGAAAAGGAAGGGGAAAGTGAGAGACGAGAGAGAAGAACAAAAAAAAGAGAGTGGTCATGTGATGCGATCAACGTCTTACTTTTTGTTTTTACAATTAAATTAAAGGAAGATTTTTGTCTAGGTTGGTGATTAGTTTAATTTCTTGTTTGATAATTAGCTATATTAAAAATTAAAACTAAACTTTTTCAGTTTAGAGGAATAAATTCCCATTTCCCTACTATGTTCTGGTGATTAAAATTAGGTTAGTTATACTTTATATATAAGATCAGCTTTTTCCAGTTTGTGTTATGGAATATATTCTAAAATCAAAGAGTAAGTACAAAATATACTCCCTCCGTTTCATAATAAGTGTCATTTTGATACATTTCACACATATTAAAAAATTAAGAAAATATACAAATATACCCCTAATTAATATACTTTTATAACATTTAATTACAAAAACTATTATCTTTAAATAAGGAATAAAACATGAAATAAAAATAAAAAGTTACATTGAAAATGCAGAATAACACTTTTTTTAAAACAAAAAATAAAATCTAAAACGACACTTATTATAAAACGGAGGGAGTACTTTTTAAATTAATCATAATATTAGTGTATTTTCTTTTTGGTAAAGATTATATATTTAACTATTTAAGTAAGAAAAGGAGTTTCTTTTTTTGAAACTTTTTATCAATCGTCTACATAAATGCTTGTTTGTTTTGTTGGTAAAGTTAATTGGTTGTTCTTTTTTATTTTCAAAAAGTTCAATTGGTTATAAGAACAATATTATTATTAGATTATGTGCTTGTTTAAATGTTCAACAGTGTACTAATCATCAGATTCATCACTAATGCTAATCATATTTTTAATCTACTAATCACTAGCCAGCCAGTAGCCACGAAAGAGTAGTGGACATAACAACATTTCGTGCGCAATATATAGAATACACTGTCATATGACGTTAAAATATATATTTTTTATTTGAAATAATTTCAAAATTTTATCATTTTGCTCTCTATGGCCTCCTTGAATCGCCACTACCTCGACAAACGAAGTGTCCAATAGCTTAAAATTGCGTGTCAAGTAATAACAATATCCCTTTAGACTATTTCCATATGTACGAAGGTCGAAGGTAACTCTCTTTTACTCGACTATTTCAATTCTTTTTGGTTCTTTTTGTCGTTATTTTTTAAATCTAAACTCGACTATTTCAATAACGTAACTATTAATAATGAGAATAATAGGGGATAAAGTAGTAATTGTAGAGGTACGAGTTAGAACTAGAGTCAAACAGTGCATATATTCTCGCACCTTGATCCTTGTTTCGCGCTGCCTTATCTACTCATTTGTAAATTCACTACTTGTAGTTTTCTCATGTGCGTTTATGTCCTCTAATTCAATCTTATCTACTAAATATCGTCCCTAAAAATATTGTTATGGTCTAGTTCGTTTTTGTTTTTGTTGATATCAGCGATCGATGATTAGGGCTGGATACGGGACAAGTACTTGCTAATTTTTTAATACTTGCTACTTGGCTTGATCCGTTCAAGTAATTTATTTTGCTACTTATACTTGACTTGTTTAAAACAAGTACTTGCTATATTAAGTACTTGCAAAAAATTGGAGTACTTATAAGTTACTTGACTCAACTTGTTACTTGTCAAAATTTATTATTTAAATCTCAAGTAAAATATTTGAACATTTAATTATTTGAACCTAAAATATTTGAAATTAAAAAAAATTCATACAAAAAGTCAATAAATATGCAAACGAAAAAGAAAATTAAAATATAGATATGTGATCAAAACCAAGTAATAAGTATTTTTAAATGAGTAGTGATTATTTTTTTAATAAGTAACGAGTAACAAGTAACAAAATAAATAATAGGACAAGTATTAAAAATATTAATGATACTTATACTTGACTTGTACTTGCAAGTAATAGATTTTTATGATTTGTTACCCGACTTGATAATGATAAGTACTTATTTTTTCAAGGTGAGTACAAGACAAGTAACAAGTACAGGACACATATCAAGTATTTGTGCCCAGCCCGATGGATGATTGCAAACCATTTGCTATATTTTACTCCATTTATCGTTGGAGAAAGAAATTATTTCATCAAGATTTGTGTAATATTTCCTTGATGTATTTTACATACAAAATTGATGTAGAAGTAGTTTTTAATGTTGTCTAAGGGGGTGTTATTCAATTATGGTTTTTAATAGAATTTAAATCCAACCACAATCCACTATTAGTCAACTAATGATTCTAAATAATGTTTTAAAATCAAGTGTTATTGGTTTTTTTTATTGTAAATCATATTTAAGAGGTTTTAAAGTTTGTGTTATTCAATAAAGATTTCAAATTTTTCATTAAAATCCAGTGTTATTCAAAACGAAATAATTTTTAAAATCTTTGTACATTAAGTCATTTCAAATCAATTTTAATAGAGTTTTATGAGTAAATTATTAGAATCAAAATCCAGTGTATATTGCAGAGATTTTAGAATCTAAACAAATGAATCCATCAAACTGATATCAATTTTTAAATCTAGAAGATTATAAAACATAGAAAAATTATTTTAAATTCATGATTGAATAACACCCCTAAGTATATAACGATAACGTACGTAAGAAGTTCTTGATGTATTTACATATAGAATTGATAAGTAGGTTTGAATGTAGTCTAGACTCTAGTATATAACGTAAGAAGCCTGGTTTAAAACCAGGAAGATGAAGATGAAACTTTTTTTGTAGTAATTAGGTGCTCGCAACTTTGTAACCAGCACTAAGTGTGAAAGTGAACAACGAGTAACAAAAAGATGATATTTGTGGAAAAAAAAAGATAAGTGTTTTTTCTTTAGTAGATGGAAAAATGTAAAAGCAAAGTAAAAGCAATGGGAAAGAAGGTGAAAAATGGTCCCCTTTAAACTTATTGATAAATCACTTTAACCTTATATAAGAGTTGATAGTTTGGTGAGGCTTGAACCTCATCGGCTACAAATTGGCAAGTTGAGCTAGATGTGGACTAAACCTTATTATCTATTGAGTTGGCCAACAAAACAAAAAAGGAAAAAGGCGGTGGGATTAAAATCGTGCGAGCCAAGACGACCGTCAAAGATATAAAACAAGAGGGTCGTTTTGAGGAAATAAATGGACATGACATGAAATTACAAACAATAATTACTCTTTCTAGTTGGCTCTCACGTGACGGTCACCTCAAAGACTATACAACTTGAATTGAGTGAGAGCCCACCAACTAAATTTAATTCAAAGAAGAAGAAGAAAACAATAGTATTCTGTACAGAGAATGAAAGAGAAACCGCAAATCCTAATTTACCCGAAAAAACAAAAGTTAAAAGCGACCTAAATAAATACCATTATCATTTTACATTTGTGATGTTAAAGTTATTTTGGTTATTGTCAATACTTCCCACTTTAAACAATGCTTTCAAATGCGACTTGCGTGTGAGATGTGGTTTTTAAGCTCAGTGAGTCTCCCAAACCTTTTAAGAGCTTAAGCACGTCGGTTACATCGTCCAAGAAGTACTTAGCTTTGCTAGGTTTTCTTCCTACCGTGCAAGCGAAAACCTCTGGTTGAATCAGAAGCTCCGGATTTGTCACTGTACTCAATATGCTCTCAAACATATCCTCGTCTGATCTATCATCTCCTATGCACATTACCATCTCTGGTGGCTCACCACGTTCCACCATTCCGCGGATTACTTTTTCAGCAGCTAGACCTTTGCTTACACCCTGAAATTCATTACCAATGAGTAGAGTCAGAACAAATTCTCTAGCTTTTTGCTAAGTGTAAGAGATTGGTTTTTTGTTGTTTACTTACCTGTGGTTTGACTTCAACGATGTGTTGACCTCTCTTGACAACGACAGGCTCATTCGCGAGCACGCTCTCTAGATGATCAAGCAGCTCTTTAGCTTGGCAAGATCCAAAGTCTGGATCTGCGTCTTGATGATGCCAAACCAAAGCACTCTCTTTGGACTCTATTCTTGACCCATCCGTTGCTTCCATGTATGATCTCATAACCGGTTCCACCATTGTCTTCCACTCTGTATCCGTGGATGAGTAACAAGTCTCCCACTCATTCTTGCTACTCCACCTTGAATCCCCCACAGACAAAACAAAAAAAAAGTGTCGTTTTAGTTTTAAGTTTACTCAAATCCTCCATGGAAAGTTTTGAGCTTTTATATACCTTATGAAGTATCCATGTTCAGCCGCAATGCCAAGATTCTCACAAGGAGATAGCCAATTGCTCAGAGACTCTTTTCCTCTTCCACTAACAATAAACACAGTGTTTCTTGGATCTTCACAGAGAGCCTTCAAAACAGAAAGAACCTCGCCGCTTGGATCTTGGATAATGGAGCTTTCAGGGACAAGAGTGCCATCATAATCAAGAAATATAGCTCTCCTCTCTGTTTTTCTATAAACCGGAACAATGTGTTCCACGGATAGCTTCCTAAAACTCGGAGACAGCGACAAAACTCTGAACCCCAATCCGAATCCAATCCCCCAACAACGTTTACTATAATGATCTCTGCAAGCTCTCTCCAAATCCTGCATAAAGCTCTTTGCCCAATAACCAACATCATGAGTGCTAATATAGTTGTAATGCTTCTCATGTCGTAGTTGCTTCTCGGCCTCACTCATTTTAAGAGCTGAGTTCACCGCCTGAGCAACAACATCTACATCCCATGGATTCACTCTAATGGCACCACTCAAAGAAGGCGAGCATCCAATAAACTCAGACACAACAAGCGTGCTAGTGCGAGGAGATGAATCAAGCGAGGCTTTGCTTCGAGGCCCTTGCCTGCAGACTATGTATTTGTAAGGAACTAAGTTCATACCATCTCTCACTGCATTCACTAAGCAACAATCCGCTGCAGCGTAATACGCGGTTTTCTCAAAACGTGGAACAAGACGATCAATCAACACTATTGGCTTGTATTCAAGAGTACCGTAACGCTCATTGATCCTTTTCGCATTCTCATACGTCTCCTTCTTTGCTTCTTCCACATCTTTACCAGAGGATCTTGCCGGATTCACTATCTGAACAAGAACAACTTTCCCTCTCAAATGCCAATACGTCTCAAAGAGATGCGCCATTGCTAAAAGCTTTAAGCTTATCCCTTTAAATATGTCCATATCGTCGATTCCAAGAACCAGTTTCTTCCCTTTAAACTGTTCTTGAATCTCTTTCGTCTTCGCTGCAGTAGAAGCAAGATTCAAAACAGACTCAAGTCTACCCATATGGACACCAACAGGAAGAATCTTGATAAACACAGTCCTACCAAAGTAATCAAGACCAATGTGACCACGCTTAGACTCATAATCAAGACCAAGCATTCTACTGCAGCAAGACAAGAAGTGTCTCGCGTAATCAAACGTGTGGAAACCAATGAGATCACAGTTCAACAAGCCTCTCAGAATCTCGTCACGGACAGGCAAAGTTCGGTAAATTTCAGAAGAAGGAAATGGACTGTGAAGGAAAAAACCAAGCTTGATTCTGTTAAACCGTTTCCTCAAGAAAGTAGGAAGAACCATGAGATGATAATCTTGAATCCATACATAATCATCCTCAGGGTTGATAACTTCCATAACTCTGTCTGAGAATATCTTGTTGGCTGACACATAGGCTTGCCATAGACGCCTGTCGAAACGATCTCCGTGGTCAGGAAACATTGGGAGCATGTAATGGAAGAGAGGCCATAGCTGGTGTTTACAGAAACCAAGATAGAACATTTTCTGCAACTCTTGAGACAAGAACGTTGCAACGCAGTTGAATTCCTCGAGAAGTCTCTGTGAAACTTCTTCTTGCTCGTTTGATTCGACGTCTGCGTTAAGTGAACCAACGTAGAGGAACTCTGTTTCTGGAGAAAACCCGTCTCTGAGTTGTAATTGGAGAGAATCTTCGTCCCAAGTGAAACACCATTTAGCAGTTTCTGCATCTCTTTTAGATTGGAGAGGTAACATGTTAGCTACGATGATTTTCCTCTCGCGTGAGCCACCGGAGTAGGAAGTTACTTCAGAGGATAAATCGCTGCCGTCTCCGTCTAAGTCGGAGATGATTCCGGGAACAGTCATGACGCGAGGAAGAGCTCTTGGAGTTTGAGGAAAGTCTAAGAGATCCCAAGATGATAAGTCGAGAAAATTCGCACAAGATCTTGACACCATGGAGAGAGACCAAAGCTGAGAGCTTTTGTCTGTTTCAAATACCTGACAAAGACCCAAAAAAAAAAAAAAAGCCAATACCTTCAAATTTACTCTAATTTAACTCATTCAAAAAAAAAAATAATAACTTTTTGTAGATTTCTTCAGTACATTATTCATATCTGTTTTGAACATCAAAACATCATTTCCCATTTTACAGAACCGATTTCTCCACAACATGCTTTTTGCCAAACAAATAAAAATGACTCTTAGTTCCCAAAAAAAAATGATTCAAGCAAAATTACATTAGATTTTTTTTAATCTATAAATAAAGGGAATCGATTCATTAACATCTAAGCTATCCTAATCATCATTTCAGGCTATAATCAAAGCCCAAGATGATGCCATAAACGGAATCAAGAGCTCAAAAAAAAAAAAGTATACCGTATTTTCGGTAAAATCAAATTACTACCACATCAATGAAACAGTTTACATAAAAGATAAAATCCAAAAATATTTTTTATCAAAACAGTCCTATAATAAAGGAGGAAAAAAGTCGTCCAAGCTCGACGGAGAAATCACCGGCGACTCACCTTCGCCGTCGTATTTGATCGATGTATATTACTGGTTGCCGTTTAAAGCGATTAATGGAAGCTCGAGAAGGTAACGAACGAAAGAGACTCGGAGCTCTTTTGGATATTCGCTCCACTCAGAGAGAGAGAGAGAGGAGAGAGCGAGACTGAAAAGAAAGAAATGCGATAACAAGAAAAAAAAACCGATACATACCAAATATGCATATGTACACGTTTTCTAACGATCTATTCTTTTTTATTATTATTCAATAATAATATTTCATCGTAGCTTTTGCTATGTACGGTTTTTTCGCGATAATGTTTTGGATAGTCTCTTGGGACGCCGCCATGTAAATTACGTGACTACCCTTAATCTTCTTATCGTCTAATTTGGGTTGGTAGATATATAGATGTGGTGGACCAAATTTTGTAATTTTTGGTTGCATCCTTAAATTAATATACATAATCTTGTTCTATTGGCATTTAAATTAAACTTTAGCTACTCGCACCTTACCTATTGTCTGGGGTTTATATGGATATATAAGGTCCCCTTTACATTTTCAAATTTCAAAAATATTTGCAAAGTAGACAAATTCAAGCCATGGTTTTTATTACATTCATTTTTTAGATTTCATTATGCTTTTTACTGCTCTTTTTAAAAGTTCGTCGATTTAGTTGTATGTAATATTGCTTTTGCATGTAATTATATTTGTATATATAGGAAATTTAGATTAGTTTCATTGCTTTGTAACGAAAGAAATAAGTACACATCTCGCACTTGCTGATATGTTTGTTATCCACGACAAAGGTGGGAAAAAAAACTTGATAAATTTAAGCCAACCAAACCGATAGGATAGGTTCGAACGGAACTAAATCGAAATCGTCCACATTAGTTGGATGAAGGGAATACATATTTGAATGTTCTACCCCTTTAAGGCCTTAAAACATGATTAGTTGATATTGCATGCATGTCTCTCTCATTAATCATTAACACATGGCTTCTTTATGAATTCTGATGTTAATGTTCTAAAGCATGTGACAACTGATAAGTGAAACTTCATCTGAAAAATACTAAATAAGTATTGCGTATTTGGAGATAGTAACAATTGTAATCTATCTATGTTATTGTGCGAATAAAATTGTAATTTCTTAGAAGTGATGTATATCACGAATATACAAATCACGAATATACAACACTCTAACAACAACACAACAACAACAACAAAAATACAATGGATTCAACTTTAATTTTAAAAATAAAAGAGTACACTTCAACAAAATCATCGTATACAAACTGATTTTAAAGAAAATAGATCGAATCAATTATTTTTGGTTATAGACATAACTAATCAAGTAAGAATCAGAACGGTAATAAAATCATGTGATCCAAAATGTTTTGTTGACAAGTCGTTTCGTAGACTCATAGTCGCATAGAGGTCTAAGCTCTACAAAGGACAAAGTGGAAACAACGTTTAAAAGTAAATAATTAGATCGTTATCCACGGGTCAAAGACGAAGCGCCTACACACGATCTATTAGACTATCCATATTATATACAGAGGATTGTTTATTAGATTACATATGGATTATGAAAAAAAAATCAAGTACTAAAGAGTCATACTAATAGGGAAGACATAACAATCTAATAAGAAAATTTTGTGAATGAACCAAAGAAAAAGACTTATATGCACACATTATCACAAGTTTTAGGCTTTTAGCATAGAAATTATAACGTCCACTAAGCATGTGTATTTTTACGAGATTATCCTTTAGCCGCAGCGGATAGAAGGTAAAATAATGTTGTCTCGAAAGCCAATGCGGATCCGACGTATCCGATAGACTCTTTCTTCTTCTTTTCTTTTAATTGTGTTTTGTTTTTCACAAAAAAAAAAAAAATATCACGACTCTAGTTTTTCTCTTCATGTACTCGAAAGTGCCACGCGCGTGGGTCTAAATTAAAATACAAAACAAAAATGATAAATGCATGCTTTTAATCTTTGATAATTGATACCATATAGTCATATACATATTCATCCCACCGTTTATCTTGTTTTACATTATTATTCCTTCTTTTATAAAAAAATATTATGCTTTATCCAGACAGACATAATCGACGGCCAATGTGGGACCTTGTTGATATAAACCAATGAGAATTAGACACGAAGACAAGTCAGAATGGTAATAGAACCAGCGGGACCCACTGGGTTAGTGAGAAACGAGGATTCAGAATGTTTCCGGAATGGATAAGTGTTTTGTGGGACTTTTGTTATTTATGCAAAACTGCGTTTCCATTTACGTAAGTAGTCACAAATAAAAAAAAATGACAAGCAATGAGAAATTGACACGTCATAATAAGATTATATTTTGTTTTTTACATGGGAAAGTGTCTGTGCACGTCTGTATCAAAAAGCCAAAGCCATCCTTAATAACCTTCTACTTTTCTTTTATGATACCGGGTTGTCTCATAGCTGTAACATCAAGTACATTTATTTTTGGAAATTCTAAACAATTGATATTAGCCGACATTTGCAAACATTTTTATTTATTTTGTATTACATTTTTTGGGTAACTAGCTGTAATTTTTGATCATTTCTATTTTGCTCACCTATAACCCGTACTTAACGACTTTTTTTTTCTAACAACATCTGTTTTTTTTTTAAGTTTTCATATTGTCTTATTGAAAAATGACATGACATATATATAATTACATATACAATTTTTTTTAATTGGTTTCAGTTAAGCTTAATTTTAGTAGTACTTTTTGTTTTAAATGAAAATTTGGTTTAAATTTAAATGCAACTTTTTATTATAAGTATTTATCCTTTTTTTTTTTGTCGTCTGAAATTTTGTATCATAAGTTTTCTGTAATACTCGACCCGCCGGATCGGTTATTACTAAAAATCAATTCCGGTTTATTTAAATTAAACCATCATTTTTAATTAAGCCCAACTCTAATTTCTTTTTAATCTCTTTTTAATTCTCTGCAAGCCCATTAATCCAATCTATTAAACCCAGTCCAGACCAATCTAACCTAATATAAATACCTCTGATCCCTCATCAACTTCTAAAACCCTAGTCTCTCCATCTTCTCTCTTTTTCGTCACTTTTTCTCTTAAACCGCTGTTCACTTCTGAGACAATTTCCCAGCGATCCGTGAAGCTCCACGTGACGTATAATATATCAAATCGAAGCCCAGGAGTTGAACCTCTCCCTCTCCATTGCAAGATGTGTGCGCCTCTATCTCCTCCTTCTCTTGAAACCAAATCAAGTGATGGTGGATCTCCACTTCGTCCTCCTCCTCCTATGCCATCACCTCCTTCTATTGCGCGCCCTTCTGTGCCAAGGTGAGGACCATGTGCTTCACCCTCTCTTTCACTCCTGTCCATAATAGTTAGCCTTTTCTTAGGTTAAGTACTAGATCTGTGAGCTAGGGTTAGATTACTAGAACCTGGTTCCTTGTTGATTGCTTGTTGATGATTGCTGGTTGTTGGAGGAACCTTGATGACTAAACCTGAACTTGGATCTAATCTATGAAACCCTAAAATATGGATTGATTGTGTGTGATCTAGATTACCTTGTTTGAGATAGATTAGGTTGTGTGATATAGAACTGTTAAGTCCCCGACCCTTTCTGTGGTGATTGAGCGGTGTTTCTTGTTGGGCTAGTGGCTGGATTGGGCTAGTCTAACGGTGGGCGGAAGGTACGCCGATCCTTCCGGAGCCTATATGGCTGGAGGCCTGTCTGTGTGACCGCATTGTGACCCTTTTTGTGTGATTGGGGGGTGTCCCTTTCTGTAGTGATTGAGGACGACTGAGTGATCTTTACTTGTTGAGATCCCTTTCTGTGGTGAATGGGTGACCCCTTTCTGTGGTGATTGGGTGGGCGGAGTGACATTGTCGGTAAGACGGTGATGCTCTCCTCAATGGGTTAAGGTTTCTTTGTTACTTGGTAGTTGATTGTAGGGTTACCCTTGTTTGCTAGCTTGACTTAGGATTAGTTTATCTGCTGTGTTCATGATTGTTAGATGGTGTTGTGGGCCTCCTTAAGGTCCATCCTCGCTGAGTAATCTCAAATTACTCACCCCTCCTCCTTCCTTGCTTTTATTTTCAGGTAGATCAGCTATGTCTATATTGTTGATTGCTACTTTGACGTTTTCGAACCTGGGAACCTGAGGCTCACCAGAGGACTGGGGTCCTTAACATGCCCTATTTCACTTCCTCTCTAGGAAGCGTGGGATAGGGATGTTACATTTTCAGTTGACCACCTTTTCGAAAATCACTCTATCCCAATTTGCTTTTGCTAGTTTTCACAACCATTGAAAACCTATAGTATACCAATGGAAAGGAAGAGATAAACATAATTTCGACGAAACATTAGTCGTCAGGAAAACACAACTGATCTATTTTTTTCTTGGCTTTCGCATAATTAGATATCTACTTTTCTACCATAATTAATTTTGTTAATTTTGTAGTATAAGATCGGATTAACTCAAGCTCAACCAGGGCCGAACCAATTGTATTTGACACCTAAAGCAAGAAGAAATATTTATATGAAAAAAGACATGGGAGTACGAACCTGAGTTGTTGGATAACAAAAACATGAACTAACCAATAGACCACAAAGGAAATTTAGAACAATTTGCTACCCCTAATAGTTGTAATAAATTTTGCGCCCAAAGCTTTACCTCCGGGCCGGCTCTGTGCTCAACGATCAATTCAGTTCGATTTCGGATAATTTGCTAAAATTGTATGTATATATGTATATTTAGAGACTTACACCGTAAACTTACAATTATTTTATGTCAATAAATTCTTTGGAGATAGTTAGCCTTTTTATTGCCGTAGACTATACTTTACGTAACTAATACAATGCCTGCAAATTTGTTATTTTATAGCGATTAGAAATCCATGACGTAAAGAATAACTAGGGGACACACATACAAGAAGAATATACTTTTTTTTGTCAAAGAACATACAAGAAGAGAAGAAGAATATACAGTAATTGAAAGACCATTATTCGATGTTCAAGAAAAAAAACAAAAGATGTTCAAAGAAAGAAAGACCATTATTCATATAAAACTCATCCAATGAGATTGCTTGGATGCTTCCATTTATAAAAGCAAGTTTGAATTTCATTCCAAAAAGAAAAGTGAAAGGATAACAAAATTTAAAGAAGCACGTGCTTTTAGTTATAAAGAATTGAGCTGTTCTTTTGTGTATATTATCCAAAGTCAGATCGCTTTCAGACAAATAACAACTCGGACACTGACAGCTCGACGAAAGGATCCTCATCTTCCGATTCGATCCGGTCTAGTTAGTTCTAACCCAGCTAAACCGGTTAATAGCATATTAGAGTTGTGCAATGCACCCGGCTAATATAAACCGAGTAATTAAGATTACTTTGATTGATGTAAGTTGACCACAACCCTCTAATAACTTTGTTTGTTACAATGTCTTCTTCTTGCTTCGATCTGTCACTGAAATGCTTGGGTTTTTTTTTTTTACGAATTCTCTCTGTTAAACTTCACCAGCGACTACTTTCTCGTTAGAACAAAAAAAGAGCTAAAATGTTTATAGAATCAAGGTGAAATACGTTTTTTTTCCAATCAAAAGAAGAAGATATTCATATGTATACAAACATATCTATAGCCATCAGAGAAGAGACATTGTCATCTTCCAACATTGATCTTGGCTCCAAGCATTGGCTGAGAGTCGTTGTTACCGGGTGATATCATGGAGCCAGTAGCGCCTGTCTCTTTGGTTTGAAAGCCACTAAGAGAGGTAGTGGTGGTGTCATCGAATCTCCAATCGGTTAGGTAGCCTGGTTTAGACATAACATCACTGACCTCAACATCTCCTGACAACATGGCCACCACTCGTGACATTGGTGGTCTCAAGGAATATGATGATTGTGTGCATAGCAGAGCAATGCCAATCACACGTTTCACTTCTTCCATGTTGAATTCACTTAGCTCATCATCTATTAGTTCGACTTCACGGCTTTTCTCGCGTAGTTTCCATGCCTGTGTCACCAGAAATACACAAACGATCGCTGGATTTTGTTTAACCATTTCATGACTATCACAAAGTTTCAATCAATTATAACAAGCATTGACGTACCCAGTCAAGAAGATATCTTTTTTCATCCTCCAAGTTCTCATCAGAGTTTGGCCTTCCACTGACTAGCTCAAGGGCCACAACACCAAAGGCATACACATCTGTTTTCTCTGTTAGAAGTCCACGCATTGCATACTCTGGCGCAAGATATCCACTGCATTTGATACAACAATAAAATCCTAAAACGTGTGATAAATCCAAAACTGTATTGCAAACCAAACGTATAGCAGGTTTGGGATACTTACATTGTCCCTGCAACTCTGGTACTTATGTGGGTTTTCTTGTCATCGTATAGTTTGGCAAGCCCAAAATCTGAAACTTTTGGGACTAGATTAGAGTCAAGCAAAATATTGCTGGCCTTGACATCCCTGTGTACTATGCGAACCCTCGCCTCCTCGTGGAGATAGACTAGACCTCTGGCTACTCCCAGACATATCTCAAAACGGGTTGACCAATCAAGATGTAAACTTTTATCCCCTACAGCATCCGAATCAATCAAAAGTGCACAATGAGTGATTTTAGCTTTTCATAAGCATGGATAGCTATGTCACGTTTCTGTTCATTACCAAATAGTGCCTGATCGAGACTTCCATTAGGGAGATACTCATATACGAGCAAACGATGATCTCCTTCATAGCAGCACCCGTAAAGTGTTACTAGGTTGCGATGTAGAACTGTAGAAATTGTTACAATTTCTGCAACAAATTGTCCCTTCCCTTGCCGGGATCCAACAGACAACAGCTTCACAGCTACCTCTCTTCCATCATTGAGGTTTCCCTGTTGAATATGTCATTCAAAAACGAAACGTATAATAAAGTTATTACACATACTCTTCTTTCCTAGTATCTCGAAGAAAATACAGATACTTTGGTATGGGACTTACCTTATAAACAGGCCCAAATCCACCCTCTCCAAGCTTGTTTGAGAGATTAAAATCTTGAGTTGCACTTTTAAGTTCCGAGTATGTAAAAGTGTAAGGCTTTATTTCCATACTAAGTAGCTCTGCAAGAAAAAATCTGGCTCTTAAAAGGAATCAATTTGAAAGATTGATATTCAAGTTTAATTTTAGAGAGGGCCAAAAGCGCTTATTTGTGTTCTTGTTACATCTATACCTTCATCATCTGTGTACGGTTTCCTTCTTTTGAGGATGATGAAGATAAACCCACCCGCAAAGATGCCCAAAAGTCCCACGCCAATAATGACACCCACAATAATGCCAGTCCTGTTCTTTCCCTTTGATGGTGGCTCGTTATCCACAGTTGGTGTAAAATCTGAGAAGCAATATGTAACACTTAGGTACTTTCTTATGGTGAAAGTGAGGACAAAAAAGATTTTTTTATTTGTATTACCTGGTGTTGCACTAACGGCCGATATTAGTGGTCCATAAGCCCCCTGAATAGGAATACAACATGTTCCTTTCCCAGCCCAGAAAAGATGAATTTCGAGGTAATTTTCTGATACATTTGCTTTATATTCTCTCTGAACTGCTCTAATTGAAGAGCCACCAGCTGTTCTACGTATATCAAAATCCTTTTCAACGAGTCTTCCCTGGAAAAACGGAGCTAGGCCTTAGAATTCATTCGAACCAAATTCGGAAGAAAATTTAACTTGTACAGAGGAAAGCTCAATCAAGTGGTGCGGACCTGGACATAAATGTCAAAACGTCGTCTTCCAACACCTTTCCAAGAGTTAGAACCTTCGATTTGTATTTCAGCAAACTGAAGTGTTACAGTATAGCCTCCATTTTCTAGCCCCAACCCATAATACCTTAGAGAGGATGCAGAAAGTCTTGCTGACTGAAAAAGCTCTGAGTCCGACGTGTTGGTAAATTGTGATAGTGAAGTAACTATGTAATTATTATTGCTACTTCCGGCAAAAAGACCTATGCTACTGGCTGCCCATCTATTAGCAGCATTCACGAAAAACGAAGCTGGTCCAAGATCCGCTTCATCCTTCTCAAATAATGCTCTGCTGACAGACCTTTTCTCCGGGCCTCCACAGTTGATCGAAAAGTTAAAATCTAAAACACCAATCAATATAGAAACTCTTAAAACAATATTTACTTCTAATAATACATGCAAGCAATGTCCGTGGAGAACAACGTTTTGAGGATAGCTCTTTGTTACACTTACATATTCCTTTGCCTCGATTGCAGGGGAAGTTCTTCTGCAGGCAGTTCAGTCCTGATAAAACCCTTTTGCAGGAAAAAATTAGAAAAGAGAAACATATTAGAATTGCAAGCACCAACAAGAACATATTTATGAAACTCACCTGTTGTCAAGACCTTCCAATGTGAAGTTGTTAGCAACTAGGTTGCTGCACAAATATCATACAATTTTGGTTATTATTCCTTTACATATGATTATAATACAAATTTCTTACAAAAAAAAAGAAGATTCATGCTGGATATGAAGAACCCTTATTATTAAATTTTCTGAGATTGAAAGACACAGCGACTATAATTGATATATAGGGTTTTTGACTCACAAATTCGAGTTTGGTAAGCTGACCCACAAAGGAAGACTTCCAGACAAATTATTGTACGACACATCTCTGTAAGTGTAAGGCACAATAATTAGGATCTACAGAATATCTTATACATTCCAAAACACTTTCCTGATTATCTTGCCAAGTTTTCTAGGCCACCAAGAGAGGAACCTAATTCAACTTGAATATATGCGAGTAAAATGTATATGAAATTTGAGTCCATATCTAGGAGGATCTGTTAAACACAAAAAAAAGAAAGGATACGTTGTGGTTTTCAAAGATGAAACAATTATAAAGGATGTTGTTACTCACATATTGCTTAAAGACTGCAGCTTTTGTGAGGGCAAGGAACCATTCAACGTGTTATTTCCCAGAAACCTAATATATAGAGCATAATTTTTTCCCATATTATTTGGGTAGTTGAGCATGAAGACCCAAAAGAAGCAGAAAAGATATCATCTTACAAGTGAGTAAGTCGACTTAAGTTGAAAAGTGAAGCCGGAATAGGTCCATGTAGTTTGTTGAAGCTTAAATCACTGGAAAACAGACATGAATTACACGGTAACGCATTAAATCAATCCTGTTTAGCAACGAACGAGAAGAAAATAAGAAACTATATTATCACCAATTTAAGATCATTTCGTATTCTCTCGGTGACTTTCACAAATCATCTCACTTTTTTCACCACAAGGACCCTGACACAGATTTCAGAGCATTTGATGAAACACATTTATGTACTTACACTTGTTGCAAACTTGAGTATTCTCCAATATTAGACGGTATTGTCCCCGTGAGATTGTTGTTCCTCAATACTCTACGACATAGATCATCAATGTCAAATATACGAGGGGAGAGGAACTGTTCAACAGTACCTTAATCTGATCACGAACTGAAATAGAATTCGAATCGAGGGTGCCTTACAATGTACTTAGAGATTTCATGTCTTTGATGAATTCAAGAGAAGAGTTTCCATTGGTTATATCACCTAGCCTCCTACATTTATAATGGGAATATGTGAGAAAGCAAAAGAAAGAGAAACGGCAACAATAGTGAGTATGACAACAGTGCAACACATACAGCTCTGTCAAAGAAGTTAAGTTTGAAAATGACGACGGTATAGGACCACTCAAACCAGTTCCGAGAATTCTCCTGCAGCAAAACACGTACCAATCGTTTAATAAAACTTCAGATGCGATGAAGAATTTTCCACAAAGAGTAAAATTAATATACAAGATATATAAAAAAAAAAGAGCAATGGAACAAGTTCATTATATAACACACTATAAAAATGAAATCTTCTTACAAGGTGGTAAGTTTGGTCCAATTTCCTATAAAGTCTGGTATCCGACCTGTAACTTCCAGATCCATAATCCAACTGATCCAACATAAAGGTTTTCCCGAGACAAAAATAAAATGTAAAGTAGTAATAATATATAAATCGAACAGAAAAGCTTATATTCGAATTCAATATAGCTTACGCGACTTGTAGCTCCACAAGATTAGCAAATGATAAAGGTATTCCCCCGCTGAGTCCAGAACTATCTATATAGCTGCAACAGATGTAAAAAAATTCTTAAAAATGATTAATTGCGCAAGAAATTGTGTGGTCGGGAACATTAGATGATCGTGAAGGTTAAGGTTTTGATATCTACAGTATAGCCAGGAAATAAATACATAAACATTTGACAAATATACTCACATTTGTTGTAGTTTTGTACAGCTCCCAATCTCAGCTGGCATAGAACCGGAAAAGTTATTTGAACTAATGCTACTGCAGAAAAATACAGGTATAAGGAGCCATATCAAAATCCTCCAGAAGCAATGTGAAAGACATTATCATATTTAAGCATATCAAGAAGCACCAAAAGCTTACAGTAATTTCAAATCTGTAAGCAGACCAATTTCCTTAGGAACAGGGCCAGACAACGCATTGATCCCAAAAGTCCTAGGTGATAAACAGTTGAGCCGTGAGAGACAAGAGAATGCTCGTAAAAAAAAAAAGACGCATTTTTTTAGAATATCCCCAGAAAGAAAATGGAAGAAGGTTTCACAGCCTTTACATCCATTCCATTCGAGTCAGGTTTCCAATTGCAGGAGACAAGGATCCTGACAGAACATTCTGACCCAGGTCCCTGAAAGAAAGGAGAAATATGTGAATTTAAGTTCCAATGTGTGTGTGTGTGTGTGTGCGCTCCTTTTGATGATCTATGTAAGTAAAAAAACCATACAGATTTGTGAGATATTCCAAAGTCCAGAGCTCATCAGGTATAGTTCCTACAACATCTATCGCATAAACCTTCCTGTGAAAACATTCAAAAAACGAGCTCTTCAGGTTTGAGATTGAAGAATTCAGTAATTTCTCAGTGGGAAAATGCATCGAACACATGGGGTGCACAAAGGGTGAAAGAGTCGGGCATACAAAGCCGTGATGCGGCAGATTGTGGAGTTGACGAAATTACAGCCGCATTTGATTAGTGGGTTGTAAGCACCGTTGTTGACGGAGATACTGTCGTCGATGGCGGCGCCGGAGCAAAGCTCGCCGCTTATGTTCCATTCCTTCGGCGCACGAATCTTCCATGTCGCGAAGATTGTGTTCAAAGCACGTGCTGTTCCATTGACAAGTTTTAAATTTGAAGGAAAATTTATATATTAATTGGTATTTTTGTCAAAAAAATAAATAAAATAATACTATCGCAAATATACATACAAATAATATGATCAAATCTTTAAAATAAGCGTTTCAGGCACTTGCAACTATATATATTGCTGAATTCATTTTCCTATTACGCCGACCATTGAATAATCTATAACAAAAACGTCGTCAATTTTACTTAATAATCAATTTCAACAAACAAAACTAAAACAACTGATTCAAAATAAAGAAATCAAATATTAATTGAAACTGAATGGTAAGTGTTTTAAGAACAAGATAATATTTATAGTTGTATTAATTAGGATCCGAGGGCAAATCTACATTCCAAATGTTCAAAGAAGAAGACAGACCATCGTCGGGATGAGTAGTGGCTCCGGTTTGGTTTTGAGCTCGAACAACGTGAACCGAACCGGGAATACACAAGAACCAGACGGTGAGGAGGAGTAGACACGGAGACAGTCGTAACAAGGGCATCGTGGACCGGAGAAGAAGATGCGAGAGAGCCCTGAGGTTTTACTTTGGTTCAAAAACAACTAGTATATGGTCCGGTTTTTTTTATGTAATCATAATCAATTTGCTAATTTGGAAAGATACATTTATTGTTTGTGCTACTCTGATTTAAGTAATGATCTAATTAGAAACACACGAAGACTTCAACAATGGCGAGGCGGCTGCACCACCTTGGACTTTGACAACAAACACCAATAGTGGTAATAATTAACTATATTTTGTTTAACGATAATATGTATTGTTTACCAACCACGATTTATTTATCGATCTTTTTAATGCAAGATTGTAAACAAAATAACTTAAATAGAAATTTCACAGGTTCCAAGTTTCTAGCCGTCGATTATCTTCGACTTTGGACTTAGAAAGATGGAGTGTCAGGCAATATCTGCCCCTGCCTATGGTTATAAAAAATAAAACATTGTCGGCTAATAAGATATTTAGTAAGATTTTTAAAATGTCCATCTATTATATTAAAACAGAAGCATATTTAGTACTTGCTTCCAAACACTTCTAATTTTTTTTAAGTGTTTAAAAATAATTTTAATAATTATTTATATTTAATTTCGAAAATTAGTTATTAATTTAATATTTTTAGAGTTCCTTAAATATAGGTAATTTAGATTGATTTGATTTGATTAAAAATAATAAATCAGATATTAATTTAGATTTGATTTAAAGATTCTAATTTAAATAATTTATATACTATTAAACATTTTTATCAAAAATATCTAAAATTTTTGAAAAAAAAAATTCACATATGAAAAATAATGGTCATATTTGAAATATAAGATATTTATAATGATGTAAATGATATGATATTTATGTTGTTTATATAATATATTTACGATTATGATTTATTTACAAATTAATAATAAAATAATAGGTAAAATTCAAATGTATAATTTAAATATTAAAAATATATTTTTTAAAATTCATAGAACTAAAAATATATATAAAAATCCGGGTTAAAAATATTTTGATAACTAATATCACTTATTTTGATTAAAATTTAGAAAACTATAATGCTAAATAATACTGTTAATATATCTCAAACTTTTAACAAATATTTATATTATACAGTAATATGAACAGAAAAATTAGAATTATGTTTTTATAATAGTTTATTTTGAATTAATATTAGCGGACGGGTTAAAATTATATTTTTATAATCATAATTAATTTTAATACTATAAAAATATAACTAAACATAAAAATCAATATTTTCACTTATTAAAAAATATTTTTATAAAAATAATTATATCTAAACTCAAAAACATAAATTATATTATAAAATTCGTTAAACAATAAAAAATATTCTCGTGCGGATGCACGGGGTTAGAATCTAGTTAACTAATTAAAAATCAAGCTAACATATTGTCGGCTAATCAAAATTACAAAATTAGACAATTACGTTTTTCTTCTTTTCAAAGTCACATTTTCAGCCTTCCTCTACTTCATCGTTGAAGTCTTCAAAATGAAAACTTACATTTTATTTGAATTATATGTTTATTCTTTAATCATATTTGGGATTTTGCATAAAACAATTTTTCTTTATGCTATTTTTATTTTATCCAATTGAAAATGTTTTTTATACTTATCCAAATCTTATCAACTGATTAATACGATCATATCAAGTACTAAATGTGAGATATCGATTATTACTCTTTTCAATAATCTCTTCACCATATTTTGACACGGACCCACCAACAATCTTGAACAAATTAGTTACAATATGATCAGTTTAAGAAAAGAAGAAAAAAAAAGTAATCACAATATGGTATAGACAAAACATAGTATCATTTGTACACAAGTTTGTTTTTAAAGAAAATATGAAAAATGAACTCTCTATCCGGCTCTAATTAGGGAGGATTAATTACCCCTTTAGCAAAACCTAAACCCATACAAAGGACAAAATTTCTTGAGCTAATATCCTAATTTCACTTTTCAGCCAATCAACACAAAACAAAAATCATGTACATAAAACCAAAAGACGAAAAATCCCCCTCTTTTTAGACATGGTAGATCATACCAACTTCTAACGTAGACGCGTGCGGGGAAGTAAGTGCGGTTCTTGGACCTCTAGTGTTCCTCCTAATAAACTCATATCCAACGTTAATGGCGATTCTCTTCACTAACCCTGATCCTTGCTTCGCTCTCATATACGCGTTTCCCATTATATAAGCCACACCTCCCTCACGCGCCTCCGTTAGCTCCATCAGCTCCTCCCTCGTCTCCTTCTCTATCTTCGGAGTCTCCGGCACAACAAACCTCACCTTCTTCTTGATCTTGCTCTTCTTCTTCTTCACCTTCGGCGATCGAATCTCCGATGTCCCAGGCTTGTCCAGGTCGTCTTGCTCGCTTCCTCCTTGATCCTCCACTCCTTGCATGTACGTGGAACAAGTTCCAACGACAGACATTCTTTCATCTTCTTCGTTGGTCTCTGTAGCCATCGCAGCTTCAGAACGTACAAACTCCGCAATGCTACAAACAAGATCGCCTTCAAACTCAACATCGTCTTTGTGTACGTCCCTGTACCCATACCGGACAATGCACCGGTACATCCGAAACTGTTTCGGGCCCATTCGGCCCACTAAAAACCGTTCCTCGGCCCGTACGTGCGGGACGGGAACGGATTTAACACAGAGGAACACGAGGACTTGGTGGAAAGCAGGGAGGTTGGTGACGAAATGAGAGAATATCGCAGGGACGCCTGAGACGAGCTCCGTGTGGATTAGTCCGATGCCACGTACGCGTTTGATCCCGAGTGTTTGACCGAGGCTGAGTAGCCAGTTGACCGAGACTTTGTTCTGCACGTCGAACTCGTAACGCTTCAGGTTCCCGTAGTGCCACGTGCACATCGCGGCTAAGAAGCATAAGGCGAGAGCGATTGGAACCCACGCGCCTTCGAGGAACTTTATTAGCGAAGCTGAGAAGTAGAGAGCTTCGATTGTGCCGAAGAACACGACGAAGGCTATTGCAAAGACGACGCTCTTGTGCCAGCAGAGTACGATCACTAGTGACATCAGACATGTCGTCACCAGCATAACCGTTATAACCGCCAAACCTGACAAAACATAACGGTTAGTTTCGGTTACTTTGTAAACCGGAATTGAACACGTTATAAATTTGTTAGTTATATACCTGAAGCATTGCCCAAGCGCTTGGTGTCTCTGAAACCGATGGTGACAGCTAAACAGAGGATCATCAAGAGCCAGTTAATCTCAGGGATGTAAATCTGACCGTGGATTTTGGATGAAGTATGAACGATCTTGACTTTTGGGAAGCATCCTAAAGCAGAGCATTGTTTGATGATGGAGAATGTTCCGGTGATGATTGCTTGACTTCCAACAACAGCAGCGAGTATGGCAACAACAAGAACTGGCCATCTTAGGTTCTCAGGTACAGATACGTAAAAACCGATTCTGTAATCGCTTTCGATAACATGATGCTGTGAGAGATAAGCTGCTTGTCCCATGTAGGCAAGTATCAAGGACGGGTAAACAAGTGATGTAAAAGCAATCTGCAACAAGAAGAGCACAGGTCAATGAAACAAGGAAGGAGGAAAAATAGAGAGAAGAGAGAAAAATATTCGGAAAAAAACCTTGATCGAGAGCTGAGAAAAATGACCGAGATCAGCAAACATTGCTTCGGAGCCTGTAATGCAGAGCAAGATACCACCAAGAGACATCCAACCTCTACTTTGAGTTTTTTTGAGGAATTTGTACATGTAATAAGGAGAGAGCGCTTGGTACACGTGCGGATTCCAATGGAAAATGTTGTAAACACCGATAGTGCTGATGCACATTAGCCACAACAGAATCACCGGTGCGAACAAGAACCCGACCCTGTGTGTGCCGTAATGCTGGAGCGCAAACAAACCTATCAGAATTATACAAGCAGCAGGGACTTCTATGTCTGCAAAAAACAGAGAAACCCCCTTTATTAAAGGTCAAAACTTTAACAATTTCAAGACAGTTACAACTTGATGTGGAACTCAGAATGTTCAGTCAAAGAGTTGATGACACTAAGATCCAAATTATGGGTAGACGAGAATTTTCAGGAAGAAGATAAACGTTTAGTTTTGGTATGTATACATCCACTTGACGTGGAGAGAACAATCCAAACGCATATTCAATAGCGTGGGCCATCATGTGTATACGACATTTAATTCGTGTTACGTGCAAAACTCTGTCAAGCAATCGAATGAACAGATGGTGGGAACAAAAGGGCTCCACGATTGAGTAAAGAAACCGAGGACTTTCGAAACAGAATGAATCTACTGATAACTCGGAGGAGTGCAAAATAACACCTTTCTCAAGTCAAGTAGTTTAAAAAACCAGAATCCATGAACTAACCAAATTGTCCACCACAATTCATCAAGATTGAGTAGATTAAGAAGAGCAAATGAAACTAATGAAGAATAGCAAAAAAAACTCACACTTGTGATGCTCCTTGGACATTGAAAGCTCAACACCTGATACTGCCGAAAAAACTGTAAAAGACCAAAACAAAAAGAAAAAAAAGAACTGAACAGTGTAAGCAAACAAATCAATGACTTTGTCTTTGATTTAGACAGGACATCAAACAAGAACGAGTCAAAGAAACATTTTTGTAAAGAATTTACCGGAAATTGCAGGCGTAAGAACACCATCACCAATCACCATACAAGTCCCAATCAAAGCAAGAACGAGCAAAATCTTCTGCAACACCCTGTGTTTCTCAAGCGTAGATTTCAGGCTCGCCGCGAAACCCGATTGAGGAATCGCCGACGACGATCCGTTCGAGTCGGCCTTGTACTCGATGAGCTGCTCGTCTGCCAGCTGGCAACTCGGGAGCGAGTTGACTCGGGCGTGTCGACAGAGGAGCGAGTAGAGAGCGAAAGTGCCTCCTTCGCCATTGTCGTCTGCTCTGAGGACTATGAAGACGTATTTGAAGAGAGGGACGAGAGTGATTGTCCAGAAGATGAAAGACAAGACACCGAAGATCTCTTCGTTGGACTCAGAGTGATGAATGTCTTCAGCGAATGTGCTTTTGTAGACGTATAAAGGAGATATACTCAAATCTCCGTATACAACTCCTAAGCTCTGATACGCTAATGTCAATACTGTTCTCCACGATTCCTTCTGCAATCAAACGAATTTTAAACCAAAAAAAGGTTTTTTATTTTTCAGAATCGATGATTACGAGGGAGGAGTAAGAACCGAAAGACGATAACTTTTCGATTGGATCGATCTCAAATCTGACTACTCACCTTGACGATGTTCTGATAAGTTCCTGATTCGATATCCATGGTGGGTTTTTGGGAAAACTCAAGAATTCCAGAAGTCCATGAATCTTTGCAAATCCAATTCAAACCTATACAGATGCCAAAAAAAGAGAAAAAGCGAATCTCAACTAAGCAATTTTGTTGAAAAGCTACACCGTTTTTCTTTTTTCCTGGATTTTCCGATATTGATATCACCACTCAGAACTGAACAGTTGAGCGACCGAGAATGGTTAGGAGAGAAGAAAGTTTTGAAAAAGAAAGTCCGAGGTAAAAACAAAAATTAAAAGGTGGGAGGAAAATGCGAGAAAACTCGAGAAAATCGTGAAAGGAGAACACGTAGAGGATATTTGCGTATGGGTTTCTCTGGATTCGGACGAAAAGAAAAGGCGAGAATTTTAAGAGAAAGAGAGCGACTTTTTTTTCTCTTTTTGCTATTTTGTTGGGTTAACCAATTTTGATTTTGGAAGTGGCTTACTTGAGAGAGAGATTACTAAAAGAGAGATTTTGTTTTGGCTCTTCAGGAGATGTATAGAGGCGATTTCTTTGATTTTTCGAGTTAATTATAATTGGAGAAAACACATACTGTATTTGCGTTTACTTCAACAAATTGATTAGTCAAACTCTATATTGTTGTGAAAACTTCTTAGAAACTTTATTAATCACTGAAATGTATATATAGAGTACATAGGGAATCTAGGTTAAGTACAATGCCCTGATGGGCCTAATGGGCCGGTATAAGAGTCCATATATGATATGTGTTACAACACTCCCCCTTGGACGAGTGAACCGGGCCAGCTACTCAATCAGGATCTCGATAATGCGTTGGAGAATGTTGCCTCATTAAAACCTTACCAGGAAAAACCCAGTGGGACAAAACCATGGTGAAGGAAAAAGAGTACAACACGCATTACTCCCCCTGATTGTAGCATCACTGCAGATCTCTAAATCTATACATTCCTATCTGTTTGACGAGCTTCCGGTGTGTTGAAGTAGGCAATGATTTGGTGAAGAGGTCAGCTGAATTCTCACTGGATCGGACCTGCTGAACGCTGAGAGTGCCGTCCTTCTGCCAGTCTGAGGTTGAGAAGAACTTCGGTAGAATGTGCTTCGTCCGATCTCCTTTGATATATCCTTCCTTGAGCTGAGCTATGCATGCCGCGTTGTCTTCATACATCACCGTGGGCTGTGTGTCTTCGTCCATACCACAATCTCTGCGGATGTGCTGAGTCATGGAGCGCAGCCAGACGCATTCCCTACTAGCCTCATGAATGGCTAGGATTTCAGCATGGTTTGATGAAGTGGCAGTGAGTGTCTGCTTCATTGATCTCCAAGAGATGGCTGTTCCTCCATGCGTAAAAACGTAGCCAGTTTGAGACTTGGCAGTGTGCGGATCTGATAGATATCCTGCATCGGCGAAGCCGACTAACCCATCTTTATTTTGGTTAGTATAGAAGAGTCCTAAGTCTTGAGTACCTCGAAGGTATCTTAGGAGATGTTTTATACCGTTCCAGTGCCTCTGAGTTGGAGATGAACTATATCGAGCGAGGAGGTTCACGGTGAAACATATGTCTGGTCTAGTGTGACTAGCCAGGTACATTAACGCTCCTACAGCACTGAGGTATGGCTTTTCAGGGCCAAGGATTTCTTCATCATCCTTTTTGGGACCAAGAGGGTCATCACTTAAGCTTCTAACTACCATTGGGCTGGTCAATGGGTGAGCTTGGTCCATATTAAATCGCTTGAGTACCTTTTCGATATAAGCCGATTGATGCACAAGGATTCCTCCTTTGATGTACTCAAGTTGTAATCCCAAACAGTACTTTGTTTTGCCTAGGTCTTTCATTTCGAATTCTGCTTTTAAGCAGTCGACTGTTTGGAAGATCTCACCAGATGTTCCGAGGATGTTTAGATCATCCACGTATACTGCTATGATTACAAATCCTTTGTTTGAGTACTTCTTGATGAAGATGCATGGACTGATGGGGTCATTTTTGTAGCCTTCTTTGATGAGGTAATCACTGAGGCGGTTGTACCACATACGCCCACTTTGTTTCAGTCCATACAAGGATTTGTTCAGCCTGATGCAGTATTGATCTCGAGATGCATTTTTGTCTTTTAGTTCAATGCCATCTGGGAGTCTCATATATATTTCGTTGTCCAGAGGCCCATAGAGATATGCGGTTACAACATCCATTAACCGCAGATCAAGATTTTCTCTTATGGCCAGACTTATGAGGAATCGGAATGTTGTTGCATCCACCACTGGAGAATAAGTCTCCTCATAATCGATTCCGGGTCTCTGTGAGAATCCTTGTGCTACAAGCCGTGCTTTGTATCGAACGACTTCACCGAGTTCGTTCCTTTTGCGCACAAAGACCCATTTGTGGCCCACTGGCTTGATGTGTGATGGGGTCCGGATGATCGGACCGAACACGTTTCTGAGTTTGAGACTCTTTAACTCTACGTTTATGGCTTCTTTCCATTTTAGCCAATCTGTTCGATGTGTACACTGTGTTATTGACGTGGGTTCTAGATCCTCTTGCGTGAGCGCAACATCAAGTGCTACTTTGTATGCAAAGAGTGCATTTAAGTCGACTTCTTTTCGATTCCATTGTATTCCGGACATATTGTAATTGATGGAGATCTCATTGTTATCTTCTGAACCTGGAGATTCGGCGTCCCGAACTTCCATTGAGGGTTCATTAGATTGAGTCTCAGCCGCGGCTATGTCTAATATTGCAGGAATCTCGGTTTCGGTTATTGCACCTTTCTTTGATTTCCGGGGATTCTTATCTTTGGAACCGAGAGGTCTGCCCCGTTTGAGACGTGGTGCAGACTCTGTAGCAACTTGGGTCTGTCCCGTTGGGACAGCTATTCGTACTGGTGCATTACAAGCTGGGATGTACGATTTGGTTACTTTGGTCGGGTCAGCAAAGGAATCTGGCAATTGATTAGCTAGCTTTTGGTAATGAATAATCTTTTGGATCTCTGAATCACATTCTAGAGTCCGAGGATCTTGCCAATTTAATGATGTTTGATTCCATGAAAGATCTTTGACCAGCTTGTTTGTCTCATCACCTAAAGAGGGATATACCGATTCATCGAATTGGCAATCCGCATATCTGGCCTTGAAGAGATCTCCAGTGGTTGGCTCGAGATATCTTATGATGGTGGGAGAGTCAAAACCAACATATATTCCCATCCTTCTTTGAGGTCCCATTTTGGTTCGATGTGGTGGAGCAATGGGTACATATACTGAACACCCAAATGTTTTGAGATGGGAGATGTCTGGCTCATGACCCGAGAGTAGTTGGGATGGGGAATATTTGTGTTCACTAGATGGCCGGATGCGTATGAGTTCAGCAGCATGTAATACTGCATGTCCCCATGCTGAGGCCGGGAGCTTTGATCTCATGAGTAATGGTCGGGCTATCCATTGAATGCGTTTAATGAATGATTCAGCCAATCCATTTTGAGTATGGACATGTGCTACAGGATGTTCCACGGTTACCCCCATGGCCATACAGTAGTCATTAAACGCTTGTGAGGTAAATTCACCAGCATTGTCAAGGCGGATAGTTTTTAGTGGGAAGTCAGGGAAATGGGCCCGCAATTTTATGATTTGGGCCAAGAACCTAGCGAAGGCTTGGTTCCGAGAGGACAAGAGACAAACATATGACCAACGGGTCGATGCGTCTATAAGGACCATGAAGTACTGGAATGGTCCGGAAGATGGATGTATAGGTCCACAGATATCGCCCTGGATTCTTTCTAGGAAATGAAGTGTTTGTTTAGAGATTTTAACTGGTGAAGGCCGAGTGATCAATTTGCCTTGAGAACAAGCTGTGCACATGAGGTGTTGAGGATAAGCTCGGTTTTCTTTGAGGGTATGCCCTTGAGAGTTTTGAATTAGTTTACGCATCATATTTGCACAGGGATGACCGAGCCGGTCGTGCCAAATAGTATAATCAATAAACCGGGCTTTGAGAGTGGTATTAGCTTCAATCATACTGACTTTAGCATGGTAAAGTTCAGTAGAGAGCGCGGGTATGGTTTCGAGGATTTGTTTATGGCCGTCTACGGTTTTAGTGACTAGGAGGGATTCTTTGTTCCCTTGACCTTGGGTTTCTATGTGGAAACCATTCTGTCTTATATCCTTGAAGCTCAGAAGATTTCTCTTCGAACTAGGAGAATATAGAGCATCTGGTATTTCAAGTTGTGTGCCATTTGATAGCAACACATAGGCATGGCCATATCCTTCGATAAGGTTTGAGGGACCCGCGATGGTGCTAATATTTGCGGTTTGATAGGTTAGGTTTATGAAGTAACTTTTGTTTCTTAAGATAGTGTGGCTGGATCCACTATCTACGACTATGGTTTCCATTTGCTGGTGTGCTTTTCCACCTTTGGATTTCTGACAGGCTAATGAAACTGGGAGCTAATAGACCTCAGTTAGCCGCTACAAATTCCAAAGATTGATCACCAAAACTGGAGAAGCTGCTGGTTGAAGAAGGAAAAACTCGGATCTGGTTTTTTTTTTTCGGTTGATCGTCGTGTACTGTAAGTGTGCGTGAGGGCGCGTCCGACGTTGGATCGACAAACGGTTTTTACCAGTAGATTCGTCTCGTCGAGGGCTTCGATTTGATATGTAGATCGTCTTCTGGTTCCTCACGGTTTGGAAGATATGCGTCTTTTAAGTTTCGACTTGCTTTTAGGGTTTTGGTGGTGGCCGGATTTATTAGGGTTTTTGCTCAGAGAGTCTTATCGTGCTGATAACGTGTTGTGAAAACTTCTTAGAAACTTTATTAATCACTGGAATGTATATATAGAGTACATAGGGAATTTAGGTTAAGTACAATGCCTTGATGGGCCTAATGGACCGGTATAAAAGTCACAACATATATGGTATTTTTTTATAATTAGTAATTAGTAATATAGAAATGAGTAATTGAGATAACCATGGATAATAATGATTTTTCGAATGTGTATAAGTTAAAAAAAAAATAGTGTAATTATGAGGGAAATTAAAATGTGAAAGCTAAGTGCGTCGACTCTCGAGAGTGAAAATAAAGGAAACAAGAAAGTGTGGTGCGTGATAAGTGGGATGTCGATTCATATAGTTTAAGCTTTCTATAAAGTGAATTATCATCTAAAGTTTAAAAAAAAAAATTGAATTATCACATAACTTCAATAAAATGGTTATGCTCAACTTTGAAGACAAATTATAAAGCGAGAGAAACAAAAGAAGAAGATTAAGAAAATTACTTTTCTTTTATTATTACGAAATAGAAATTAATATTGTTCCCTCTATTTAGTCAAACCCAACCTTTTTTTTTCCTTAAACTTTATTCATTGATTGATTTTAATGTTACTATTAACCGTTTTCTTTTTGTCGGCTACCATATCGTATAAAATAAAAATATAATTATAAATAAA